CTATCCACTCTGGAAAGAGTGAAATTTGTGGCAAAACATTAACAGTCATATCTTATTTTTAGTATAAATTTGTTTTTATTGCAGTATATTGGGAAATGAGAGCATTTTTAAAGGATCAGATGTGATGTGACATCTCACATCAGCTATTACTTAATGACATTTTAAAGGCTAGACAGTGATAGTAGAAAAGGAAATTTGAATGATACCCCCCAAAATGGCAATAATTTAAACACATGAATATATAGGGAAATACTCTTACCTGCTTTATTCCACAGTAATCAGCAATACTGCTGATGAGCTCTGACATTGCCTGAACTTCATGAGATTTTTTCAAATTCATAAACTCATCTGGCTTCACATTTTCATCTGAACAAAAGTAAAACAAAATTAAAGTATGCTACTAAAGAAACAAAACTTAATAAGAATCATCAGTTGATGCTCATGTTTTCTATAATTAAATATGAAAATAATACAGAGATCCTATTGCGGTGTCTGTAAGATGAATCTCTATTAGTTTAGCTGCTATGAATCAAATTTGAATTAATAAAATGAAAAGACTCATATAACATTCTTAAAAATGTTCCTTGAAATATAAAACAATTAACTACAAAGGAAAAGACTGATAACTAGACTACGATGTAGGAAAAAAATGTGGAGATCTATACCTAAGTTTTCTGTTTAATATGGTGCATAAGAAAACCTACTCATTTAGAACAAATCAGTCTATCGGGGCTCATGATATAACGTCTAACAATAAATTAAGAACATGTTGGAAATATATATATATATATATATATATATATATGAACAATATATTGCTTCTAAATTCCTAAAAAACATACATACACACAAACTAACACACCTACCAGTTCTCTGTTTTTGATTTCCACGAAGGGCTACAAGCAACTGTTCAAAAGGAGTACATATTCCCAAGTTTTCTACAGAATAATATTTAGCAGCCAGAGCGAAGGCTTCCACACTCACCAGCTTCTGGGAAGTTTCACAAAATATTTTCGGAAAATCAGTAATATCTAAAAAATTAAGATAAAAAGAATTGTTAGCAACAAAATAAATAATCACTAGCTAATTTGTTGGAGATTTAAAAAACAAAAATCACCGATCTTATAACAAACTATAATATTTTCATTTAGTGTGAATTTTGGCAATATCACTAATGGTTCCATTATATTTGTTAGTTAAACTATTAGCTATTTGTAGCAGCCAGTTTTCTCATTAATACACTATACCATCATACACTTAGATTCCAAATTAAAATTTGGCCTTTTTGTTGTTTTTTAAAAGCCAAAAAAAAAAAAAAAAGAAAGAAAGAAGTTTAAAACCGTGCTAAACTGTAATGTACTCATTAAATTTATGAATGGTCCTGGCTGACGTACAACTGTGAATTTAAAGGAGGTCAGTCCATCAAACGTCGTTACTCCCTGTGCACACTGCATGTAGAACAACAGCAATATTCTCAATGGTATAAATGTTATTGTAAAACAGTTCCTGCATCATATGGACCATGTAGAATTGTGTGGGCATGTGTGTATATGTGTTCAACACACTGTCAATACGACTTCTAAAACTAATCTGGTTATGATTAGGTGAAAACAGTTCATTTTCTTCCCATAGTCAGTTTCAAACCAGACATTGTCTAAGCTTCATACAGAAACTACTGATAGTTGCTGAATGCTCACTTTAGAAGAGTAAAGTGCCACACTGTTTGCAACATCCAGTGTTCCTCTCTGCGTGAGGATCATTCACCCTGTTGAACTCAGATGTGGTTACATCTCACCAAGGTGAACTATGCCATTTTCAGGCAGAAACTTTAAAAATATCAAAAGAGTCACTACATTTTCTTTGCCCAGAACTGCAATTGTCAAGATAGAACCTGCCTCAGCCTGAGTCCCCAAGTGATGACAACAAAGGCATCACTGCTGTCAAACTACGAAGAACATGCGGCATACATGAATAGTAACTTTCATTGTTTTTAGTCACTGAGTTTTTAGGCTTATTACTGTAGCATAATCTTGCCTACTCTAATGGATACACATCAGTACGAATTTGCTTTTTATTTGTTCAATTTCATTTTCCTATAGTCATTTTTAATGCATATTAATTTATTTATGAAGGTTTAAAAAAAGGCATTCTGATATGTATTAGTAGTCCAAAGAAACTCTTTGGATGGAGTAGTCCATTTACCGAAAATTATTTTTAATAATTAAAAAATGTACATCCAGTGGTTAAATAAAGCATTTAAAATGTTCACCTTACAAAAGCATGGTGCAATTCTGGGAACAACTTAAGTCCTACCAGAAAAATCATACTATATGCTATGAAGTTCATTCTAGCTAGCTGATACTCCAAAGTTACCTATGAAATTATAAAAACCTACTTAAACACAAAAAACAATGATGCTCCCTGGCAAAAATTAAAAGCAAGAAAATTGAAGAAGGCTTTCAGAATGCTAACTAAATAACTAAAAACTACATGTTTAAGACAGTACCTTTTGAAAGCTAATATCTATTAAGTTGATGGTAGTAATGTTTACCAAATTAATTAATAGAAAATCCGCAGAGATGTATAACTTCCATTTCTGAATGTATTAAATAGAAATTTAAACTACAAGATTACCATAGTACGTTTATTTAAGATACATTTTGTGTATTATATAAAGTTCTTTCGACATTTTACAAACTGAATTTACTAATGCAGCCAAAAAGTAATAAAATCCACATCAAAATATTTAGGCATGATACAGAGGGGAAAACTCAGTCAACTGTTAAGTGAGCCTCTCAGGTTTAAGGGCAGTCTCAACATCCCCAAGTTCCAGGGCAGCAATTTCTTAGCATGTGATACAATAAGAGTAGTAAATTTCAAAGTGCAGAGGGGCTATTATAGTAGTCAGTTATTGGACAATGCTGCCAACAGAAAGAAATGTGATGTTTCGGTTGGAAAAGTAAAGCTTCAAATCAATTTAACTATCCTACTGAAAATATTTGAAAAAATTCCAATCCAAGCCAAATTAATGTTGTTAATTTGCCTTTAATTATAGGCCTCCTAGTAATTTCAGAAATTTGAGGATCTAAACTGCAAAGATATTAAATTTTTAACAATGTTTCCTTTTATAAAAAGGATAGTGTTCTGATTCAGTCCATTGGTTTATGTCATTTAAGGCTACACCAGTTTATTCAGATAGTTCTAGAACTCTGTGAAAAAAATCTTTTTGAATTAAGAAAATATAGCTTTTGTAACTTTGTTTTCAAATGATCCAGCCTATAACTTCCATTACTTGTGATTTTTAGAGATTCAGAGAGATGAGAGGTGTCAATGATCTTGTCTTTACTTCTATCTCTGAAACAGTATGTGAGGAAAGTTCCACGGTGATGGTAATAGTATCTGTAGTACTCATAGTGCATTCCCAGAGACTGGCACACTGAGTTTGGGTTTGGCAACTAGCAAAATAAAAACCACAGTGTTACCCAACTTATTACTTAAATTCTTAATTAGTTAAATTTTTTACACAGGGAAAGCTTCATTTTTAAATTTGATACCCATTGTACCTGCGTATGCTGCGGTTTGATTGTTTTGCCAATATCTCCCTCTACTGGAAGTACTTGTTCTGCTTTATTACATGCTCTGTCTTTATTTACTCTTATTTTTTGTACACCCACAGAAGTTTCTTACAAGATAGGTTATTTGGGCATGAGGGAGCAAAGGCACCAGAGAGGCAAGGGAGAAGTTAATTCTATTAAATATAATATCAGTATATCCCTATCCTTTTTTTTTTTTTTTTACAGCAGAGATCAATATACAAGGAAACGTAGAAAGGTTATACATACACATATTGGATTATGAAAATTTCAAGATAGAGAAATGAATAATAATGTTTCAAAGCTAAAAATAAAATAGAAACAATCAATGAATATATAATATTGATATTTAAAATAAAAACTATTTCAAAACTCAATGTCTGGTATTTTACTTGAATATTATCTAGCACTTTAAGGAAGACAGAGTACTGTAAGGATTCACAATTATCTCACCACTATTATTGCTAACATTTATTGTACATATACTATGGGCCAGGCACTGTGCCAAAGAGTTGACATTTAATGGAACGGACTTATAAGCTAGTTACATCGTGCTCGTATCCCCACTTACAGAGGAAGAAACCAAAACTTAGAGAGGCTGCAATTTAGCCAGGTTTGCACAAACACTAAGTAGCAAGGCATGTGAACCAAGGCTGTGGGCAGACCTTGTTCTTAATTCCCACATGATCAACATGCCACTGCAGTGAGTAACAAATGAAATCAGGAAAGACTGCAGTTAAAAAAGTGCTAGGCAGACTGACTGTCAGAATCAGGTCTAACAAGAATTCCCTCTGGCAGAGATCAATACATGGTAATATCTTAAAGACAGTTTCAAGCTCATTTATCTTCTTATTCTTTCACTTCCCTCACTCCCCTCAACACCTCCCTCTTTACCAGAAGTGATTTTAAGATTTCATGAAGTAAAAAGAGTAATTTCTACATTTAAAACAACTGATAAGTCTCTGAAAAGAAAATTAAAAGTTTTTATGATAAGATGTTGTTATAGTTATCTATTTCTAGAAACAAAGTATCCCTACTGCTTCCCTCCCAGTTGTAAGGCAATGATACCTTGCATATACCAGGTATTCAGTAAGTAGGGAATCAATGAAGGGATGAACGAAAGCAATTCCTCAATACATTTACTACTGTAGCATCACCAGATACACTGAGAGAAACAAATTCTAAGAGTCTGGGGTAGTAGTTTTCACTGAGGCCACTACAGGAACTTCAACAGTACTTCTGAGCCTGTTAGAAGAGCATAAAACCTCATCTCAGCCCTAATGTTTACAATCACAAGGTGAGACAAAAGTGATTTAAAACATTTAGAATGTGATATAAAATACAATTATGTGCTAAATTCTGACGTTACAGTTAAAGGTCACTACTGTTATTATCACACACCCTAAAAATGTCCTATGGTCCAGAATTTCAAGAAGAAGTCAACAGTGCCCTCTTAATAACAATCTTCATAAGGACATAGAAATGTTATGGACTCACTTTTACAGGTCCTACAGATGTCTCCAATTCAAAAAGCCCAAAACTGAACTGAAAGTTCTCAAGCTCACCAAACCTTTCCCTTTTCCTATTTGCTATCCTGTTTAATAGTGTCATCGGTCACCCAGTGCTGAAGTTAAAAGTCTACATTATCTTAAATGCTCCTTGTACCCTCAATGCACATATCCAGTCACCCATTAAACCTAATGTAAAAATGTCTTTCATTTGGGACCCCCCCCCATCACCGCCGCGGTTCAAACTCTATTAGTACCACCAGTGTTACCGCAGTAGTGATTTTTTTCCGTATCAATAGAACTCCCATAGCAGAATGCTCAGTAAGTGTTGGTTGAGCTGAATTGAACATATTTTCTAAAATGGAAATCTACTTATATTCAATGCGAGTTTAATTATACATTTTAAGGCTTTGGCTTCTACCAACAGTTGACTTTAGGCTTCAATCTTTTATACTTGTTTAGTAGACTTCAGTCAAAAGTTAAAGCTGTCTTGCTGACCTATGAAAATTATATATAGGATATATTAAATTTTATGAATGTTTAAGTATATCCATAACCCTATAATCTATTTAAGGAAGAAACAGAATATATACTGTTGCTTTTTAAAATATGTCAATTTATATCACTCCATTATGTGCTAGGAAACTTTTTGCATAAGCTCCAACATAATTTATGGCTGCATATGAAATGAAAAAATATGTTATCTCAACATGTAAACCATGCTCTTAGAAAGAATGATATAATTAACAAAAATTGACATGCATATCCTTATTGTGCCAATATTAACATTACAATGAATGTTCCATTACATGGAACCATTTCAAAAGCATTTTCACATTTAACTAAGTTTTTATAGAAATCAAATTAAATATAAAAACAGGAAAATCTAACCACAGTATTACTACTCTAACAAACGCTTTTCATAGTTTA